ATTCCAAAATGATATCTAAGTTAGTTTCATTCCTGATGAGCTGATTGTGTAAAAGTTACAGCACAGAAATGAAACAAAACCTGTAGCACTGCAAGGGAACGTAATTCAGTTTGTCTGCTTATAAAAGAACTTCCTCATTTCATATTCTTTTGCTTGTTCAAGGTCTTCCATAGGAGCCTGTTGAGCTGAGAGAAACCCTACTGCACTTCACTCTTTCTCCCTTTCTTTCAGTATAACATGGATAAAGCTATAGTTGACAGTGGGACGACACTGCTGCGACTTCCTGTCAACGTCTTCAATGCGGTGGTAGAAGCCATCACACGCAGTTCTCTGGTACGCTGCCGTCTCTCCGCAGACAATGATGAAACATGTTGTCAGAGCAAAGAGATGCAGGGGAGGATAGTGCACACTCACTGTTCAAGGACGGAGTTGCTTTGAGAGAAGGAACAGGAGTTTTACTGTTATAAAAATATATATGTGTGTGCGTGTGTGCGCCCAATACTTTTGTTTTTTTTTTTTCTACTTTACACATTTTTAACCTTTTACAACTGCACACAAACAGTACTCAAGGTTAATTTGAGCGTGGAAGCAACATTTTCAATTAATGTATCCATATCCTTGCAGATTAATCCCAAGTGGGAAGATAAAAGAGAGCATCAAAACCTGTTTTGATGCTGTATTGACCTTCTGTTTCTGTATGTTTGTCTTTTGCCTTCCTGTCTCCCTCTGTGTCTGTTTGTCTATTTCTATGTCCTTTTTTTCTCTGTGGTTCAGATCCAGGATTTTTCTTCAGGCTTCTGGGATGGCACCAAGCTTGCATGCTGGATGAAGGGAGAGACCCCCTGGAGGTTTTTCCCCAAGCTGTCCATCTATCTGAGAGCCACAAACAGCAGCCAGTCCTTCCGTATCACCATCCTGCCTCAGGTACTTGGATAAACATAAACACAAAAACAAGAAATCCCTTCTCCAGAGTTTCTGTGTCAACTTTAGAGACATTAACACTTACCAGTCCCCATTCTCTTCTGTTAATTTGTATATCATCTTGCAGCTCTACATCCAGCCAATCACAGACGTGGACGGCACGCTGGACTGCTTCCGTTTCGGATTGTCGTCGTCAGCTAATGGCCTGGTGATTGGCGCTACTGTTATGGAAGGCTTCTACGTGGTATTCGACCGTGCCCAGCGGAGACTGGGCTTCGCACTCAGCAACTGTGCAGGTGGGGGATATAAGACCATTACAAAGACAGAAAAGTATAAAACTCAACATATACCAAGTGTCCAAAGATTGTAAGTTGATGATCCACAAATGGATTCTCTGGGTGTCAAAACACTGGTTTGGATGTATTTGTATTTGTGCCTACATGATTTTGTACCCACATTAATATTTTTATCAGTCTAATGATGCATTTTGTATGTTGTTTAAAATGTGTTACTTTTGTAGTAAATTTAATTTCCCAGTCTCAATATACTATATTTATTGTGTGTTTGCTTGAAGTACTGAACTGCATACAAACACACACAAGTAGAAAATTCATACAACAGGGGTTATCTCAGGGCAAGTAGCAGTAAGTACTCAACTACAACAGCTTAAAATTCTTCTACCTTTTATTCGCCTATTTACAAACCACTGTAGTGTTTGAGTAAAAAAAAAAATAAAACATGCAGATGATAGAAAGTCCCCCTTTTTGTTTGTTGTTTAGAGCAGCACATGTTAAAGTTTATATGAAAGGGCTATATGTTGATCTCTGTTATATGGTATTTTTCTGGTTACATATAAATGTCATTTGCAGAAATGTTGCTGATTCTTTATGAAAATATTGTTCATATTACTTCAACACAAGAAGAAAACAGTCCAGAAGTCCATAAAGTGCTCGAGGTTAATTGATGAACTTATGTAAAAGCAAACTGTGCAATATACTCTTCAATAATACTTTGAGGCTGAGTGATCAGGACTGAATATCCCGTTCATCATGACATAAACAGCAAAAGTTTAACATTAAACAGTGATACTTCCCTGAAGTTCTGTGTAAATATGAGCTTGCCAAGACTTCCCACTCTCATATTAAAGTACAAAGATCACTTTTGTTCTTTATTAAGCAAACAGATGTAGGCTGAAGGTTAAGGATGCAGGCTTGTGACAGTAGGGTTGCCAGCTGTAATTCCTGAGCTGGCTGGTAAAATCCAGACAGAGAAAACTCTAAACTATGGACGATTTGCCCTTAAGTAAAACAAAAAAACCTCAAATTACGTGAACGGTGCTGCTCAGTAGCCGCCAGTCTAAGATGACAGTTGTTTTAAGGAGCTGCCACAAGTTAATCGATATCTTAGCTCAATAGTAACACAGTTGACATTTTATATCTGTTATAAGTAATTGTTTATGATCACCAAAGTATAAACAACCTTTCTCATATGAAAATATCTCAATCTCATCTATACGCTCAGGTTTACTGGTTTTATTCATCAGTGGTTAAACACATTTCTTATCAAATTTTCTGTATGAGCATGTTTGAGATAAATTTATTTCAACTTTTTGTCTGAATAGTACTAATTCAGTGTTCCTTTTGTAAGGGTCACAAGGTTCATTTTGTCTTTTTTTTTTTCCCCATTTGATGTTGGTTGATATTTATATGACTTGTGGTGTAGGGGGTTTCCAGGCACTTTATATTTTACTTTTTACTTTAGATGTGAGTCAGCTAGTCAGAACTGATGTCTGCATCTACCTGTCCTGTATTTCTCTGCAGTGAGCGGTGGAGTGGCTCTGTCAGAGATCGCAGGACCCTTCTCAGCAGCAGACGTGGCGGCCGACTGCTCAGCCGGGACGCTGAAGGAGCCTATTATGTGGGTCATCTCCTACGCGCTGATGGCGGTCTGCGCTGTGGTCCTCATCATCCTGTTGCTCCTGCTGGTCCTTCCCTGTCGACGCAGAGACCACTCTGGGGAGATAACCGACGAGTCGTCACTGGTCCGCCACCGCATCAAGTGACTGAGAGGAAATGGACGGGTGACCAGGATGAATGAGCAGGGAGACAGTGAGCGGAGCCCGTCCACAGCGGTGGAGAAAGGGGTGAGGCTCAGCCTGGACCAAACAGTGACACCCGGCTCTGAATGTCTGACTGACTCGAGACTGCACTCATCAGCTTGGCCCATAGAGGTAGACACAGACACATCGGCTGCCTCTTAAAGGGAAAATCCACCCTAAAAACACTTCTTAAAAACAGCTTTTGATGTATTTACAGTTCCAGTTTCCTGTTTACCTTTCTTATTCTCACTGACAATTCATGTCATGTCATATGTAGACACTGACACGGAGAAAGACATCCAGCATAGAAGAAGAAAAACAGATTAAAAGTTCATAACGCCATGTAACTACTGGACAGTTTTTAGTAATGGGTATGACTTGCTTTTTCTCAGCTGGAAAGACTCGTGTGTTGTCAGTTTTGCTCTCTGCAACTACACTGAAATCGAGCGTAGGTTGAGAGAGCACAAATCAAGTTCAGACTTCAGCTCTTAAGGCCTGTCCAAAGGTATTTTGGAAAATGTAGGACATCACTAACACAAACAGCAAGGTGAACCAAACTATGAAACACTTAATCACAAAGAAAAAAAAATCCTGACACACACTAAACACCACACCAGCACTGACGCATATCAGTATAAGAATATCTAAGGGTGGAGTTTCATCCTTACAGATAATCACAGGACTGTGGGTTGGTCAACAACCACTGGTGCATGCATGAACAATACAATTGAAATGTTACTGATTTCATTTCCAGGCAAACTGTGTGTTTGTAATTTCTAAGGATATACAACCTCTTTAAATGTGCCTTTACAGATGATCAAATTAATGTCTGTGTCTGTTGAAGTTAAGGGGAAAAGCTGCTCAATCTATCACTGTTAATAGGAAGAATATTACACAAGTTTACAGTGCCTGTAGTGCCCTTAAGTCTCAGTTCACTGCTAATACAGCTTCACGAACAGTTTGAGACTTATTCTGCTGAATTGCACTTTTTTTTCTCCTTAAGTCAATCAAAAGTGTAATATAAAGTTTAAAGATCAATATTTCCAGATTTGTTATGCAATTTTGTTGAATTAATGTAATTTTACTAATTCTCTGTTCATCCAAGTTTATATTTAAATTTCTTTGAATGTGATTGTATTATTACTCCAAAATATTTCTTTTTAGACACTAGATGTTCATGGGTATGTATTTATATTTCACATTTTATACAAATCAAACATTTAATTAGAAACCAAATGATTTTTGAAACTGACACATTGTAAACACATGCATCACCTGTGGACTACACTTTCTAGGTGAAGCTCAGTGACCTCTAGCAATAAAAAGTTATTAAATGCCATTTTATCGTCTCTTCACACTAGTGACAGTTTCATATGTAGAAGTCAATGATAGAGTACATGAAACATGGTGAGACTGCTGAGACTGTGCTGCACAATCAACCTGAAACTAGTGCCTTTTGGCTCTGAGCATCAGCTTTGAGTCACATGATTCAAGTTTCTGTCTGCCAAAATTTAAAGTTTAAAAATTGTCAAATTGAAGGTAACTTGATTCTTTGAATGTTTGCTTATTTATAAGTGTCTTTTTCTGTGCCAAAACTGTACTTGTGTTGTAAATAAAATAACTTGTGATCAAATTAATTATGTAAATCCTTTAAAATTAATAAATATATTTTGTTGTGAAAGGTTACGCTGGACCAAACCATCTTTTGAGAGTCAGTGGGAACAAGTTTGATATGGTTTTTGAGTGACATCTTGTGTTGACGCATGGTATGTCCATTTACTGGCTCAAACCTCACTATTAATGACATGAAACATTACAATGAGATTTAAACAGACTAAAATGAAGACGTTATAATTATACAAAAATAAAATAAACGTACATTGTTTTAAAAGAGATAACATGAAAACATGGAGCTTACATTACATTACTTACATTTGAGCAAAACCCAAGTCTGCAGCAACAGTGATATATTATGAAGAAAAAGAATACCAATAAAATAAAGAAATAAGTTATGTTAGTGATATAGATATTGATGAGGCATTAAAATGTGTCTCACTTAAAAAAAAAATTGTAAACACAAACATGTCAGAAAGTTCATCTTTGGTCCTGTCATCAGTCATCTTGATGCTTCTGTAAACAAAAAATAAATGTATTTGTATTCAGTTGGATGTCTTAAATGTTTTTTGTGTCTGAACATTATCCTACGTGTAAAGTTCAACATGAAAAACTACATATGAAGAAAAAACACTGATATAATAATATGAAAGCTTGAACCATTCAAAAAAGGTAAATTCCTAATTATTAGAATGACTTGTCATACAGTTTAATAAATAAGATGAAGGTCACACAACACAAATATAAAATCCTAACTTGCAACAAGGCCCTGCTGTGATTCAAACATACTGTAGGTATTATCACATCCAGCCCCAGTTGAGCTGCAGTACTTGGAACACCAGATGGGTAAACCTTACTGCATCTGCTCCTCAAAGCAGATTAAATCATTTGTGCATTCACATACAGTTTTTATTAAATTACACAGCATGAAATTTAATCTGTTTTTATTCTATATAACAGCCCTTAAGAGACAAATCTTTCTTTAGTTTTACTGTATCCGGTCTGGTGCATTATCAAAAATCTAATGTAAGCTGTAAAAGGGTTTGACTTTGGTGAGTTTGTACCTTCATCTGGCGGTAGATCCAGTCCAGAAAATAGGTGACGTTGCCATAAACACCTGGTTTGTTCTGCTCAGCACAGTGTTCCCCCCAAATACTGTCCCCTGTGAGCCACCATAGCCCATTTGTCAGAGACAGCAGAGGCCCGCCACTGTCACTCTGAAAATGAGTTCAGCACAAAACTTAAGAGAACTTTCATGAACTGCACACTCTGGAAATTACATATAACACTCATCAAGATTCACACATTCATTATCAAGGGGCTACACAATGACCTTCACAATGATCTCAGTGTCTTGTTTGGTGAAATTTAAACACTAAATGTTATCCATCCAGTTAAAGAAGCATGTAAGGTCCTTCATTGCTGACTCAATCTGACAAATTATGTGTTATAAGTGGAACTGTTTATTTAAACCATGTACAGAACATAGTGCAGGTTTTGTTTGACTTCGCCTCAAAGAAAATTACATAAGAGCATGAAAATGCTTTGAATTCTTTTCACAGGCTATTTTTTTGTCGTTGATCTGTTTGTGCAAGAAAAACTGAATTACACCATAAAATACAGGATGTTATTAAAAAGCTGATAATAATTGTTGCTGACAATGTAAACAGTGATTTCTTTGAGTATATTGTGTATATTGATCACTTGATTCTGCATATAAAGGCTGTATTTACAGCTAATACTGAAACATATCAACCCTGAAGGCAGCAGACCAGTGTGGTGGCAGTCACACTGCAGCTGTCTGGTACTCCACTATACAACTAACAAACACTTTATGACATGTGATAATATGTGGGTGTGTACCATGGCGTTAACAGTTAAAAAAAGGACTTTATTTGTGTTGGTTTTTGTATTTAAATATCATTTTCAGACCTCTAAGAGAAAAATGATTGCATGTTTGTCTTACATGGCACATGCCCGTTCCTGCTTCCATCTCTCTGGCACATAACATGTCCTGTGATATCCTGCCATTGTAAGCAATGGAGCTGTTGCACTCTGCAGTTTCTATGAGCGAGACCTGAGTCTCCATCAGGTATGAAGAGTCTGTCAGAGACATAACAGACATTTTTTTGTCAAATAACAAGACAAATTAATTCATTTAAACCTGGATCTCGACCGTCCAGTTTGACATTGATTTAAAGTGATGTTGGTATTCTCTGCATGGACATTGTATATGTTGGTAGGCAAAACAGAGTTAAAGCCAATGAATGCGGAATAACAAAGTTACATACTTTGCTGCCCTCTAGTGGCAGCATTATGTAACACGTAACCACGGCTGTCTTACCTCCATTTGCTGCGTGACCAAATTGTGTTATCCAGGCCTTCTGAGGTGCACTGAAGTTTAGACCAACATTTGGGAGGCACACAGGTCTGATATTACTGGAGGCTACCAAAGAAAACAAGATGGCGTTTGTTAATAAGTCTGTAATAGGAAAATTTGATTCTCTACGACTTTAAAAAAAGGTGTCTTTGTGTTGAGTCCCACAGCCTCTGTGCTCTCTACACACATGTATACATTTGTTCACCTGGTTTCCACAGAATAGGAGCCATACCCTGAATTTGCCACTTTATTGGCTGAACATGGCATCTGAGTGTATATAAGACTTACTACATGTGTTATGTTTCATTTCACAAATTACAATAAGTGACTACTCAAGAACAACCCTGGTTATTCTGGTATTTGGTCACAAAGACATTGTGTATAAGTGTGGCTCTATTGTTCATTTGGTTTTTCCATCCCTGTGTATGTAAATGTGTCTTTAAGCACCTGTGACGTCCAGGGGTTTGGTGAGCCTCATCAGAGCAATGTCATTCCTGCGAGTGTGGCTCTTGTAGTCTTCATGGGCAATGATGCGACTCACAGAGTACGCAGGGTTAAACAGAGTACCTAGTGCATCCACTATCCCGGCATACACTGCCCAGTCACTGGAGCTGGAGGCCCTGGATGGGAAAGAAACAGCAGGGAGGAGATTCAGGCCGGATCAGAGCACAATCACTGCTTTGAGGAGAGGTGGGGTGAGTAAGACCTTACCTGGCCACACAGTGTGCTGCAGTCAGTATCCAGAAGGGGGAGATGATGGCTCCTCCACAGCGGTGGGAGCCCGCAACCTGCAGGCTGACCCGCCAAGGCCAGGACCCAAGGGAGGCCTGCTGGCCCCCAGAGGCCCTGCTCGAGTTCACCCCGTTCCCACAATCTGAGGACAAGACGGCTATTAGAGAGGATTCGTTTCACCTCAACTGGGATTTTATAAGCAGGTTTAAGAGAGGCCACAATTCTGTATAAGTCAAAGTGTAAATAAACGTAATCTTGGCCCAGAATATTGTCTTCCTTTTTTTTTTTTTTGACATTGCATGAAAACATTTCAAACCAGAAAACATCTGAAGATCACAACAAAGCATCAAGCTTTTGCTAAAGCTTAAGCCTTTTTTTTTCATTGTCTCATCTACTTTGTTGGCATCACAAGAGCAAAACATGAAGGACATGGAAAGCAATACAGAGAACACACACATCAGACATCAAATCTAATTAAAAACCTTCACCTGCAGAAGATCATCAACACAAACACAAACCAATATCATACAGTTTTAACCCCATGGCTGCAGAAGAGGAAATACATAAATAATAGAAATCGCAACATTACAAAACTACAACATTCCTCCTCTAGTATTTCAGAACATTAAAAAAAAATTCAAGTTTAACAACATACCAGTACAATGCAATGTCACCACCCTGTTGTTGGGGCATGTGTTGCTGCAGATGGCAAAGAAAAACACAAATTAGTTTAATTTTGATCCAATATTAGCCTTTTGACATTGGTGTATTATTACCAGTCCACTTACCTGAGTTCAAGCTGTTGCAGTATGAAAGCCTCCGGGTTGAAATCAGACTTCACCATTAAGAATCCATCATCAGAGTCAGTCTTCTGTTGGCCAGATTTAAAATATGTCCCCCTGTCAAACCACATCATGGTGAGTACAGCTTTAATCAAATACATAAGTCCTTCACACAACAGTCTTTGTGAAACACCTGAGCATCTTGACCTGCTGTATCCAACGGTCTGGCAGCTCGCTCTGCCCTGCTGCTCGGTCCAGCCGTGAGAACAAACAGTCCTCCAGGTTTTAGTCTGAGTCGAGTAGATTTGGAGAAGGAAGCTGGAACCATGCAGCCTCACTGAGCACAAACAGCAAACACACACAATGACTTGACATTTTGTTACTAGCGGAAAGCAGGTAAAGAGGGAAACCAGGACAGAGTCAAGTCGGATTTTTCATATTACCATTAACACTATTAACATTATAGAAACTCTAATGATGAAACCAGGAACTACACATAATCATGAACAGCAGTGTGTATAATGATTAAACAGAAAAACAATGAAAGCTACATAAAGCTGACAAATAAGGGGGCATAGCTTTGAAAGTGCAGAAGTTAAAGTAAAACTTATATGAAGGTGTTTCGTTTTGACTGTATAAAAAGGTGTGTACACTGTGTTTTATAAATATACGGGCGAGTGAACAGATTGCAGGATTTTCAGGTGTGTTTCATCCTGCACTTTGGCTTTGGATCGAGCTGTTTTACCACAGTTCGCTTCGTCCTGGCCAGCTGGACAGTCTGTCACTCCGTCACACCACTGGGACTCCCACACACAGCTCCCATCACCACACTGCATCCCGTGCACACAGGGCGAGGAAACTGAGACACAGGAAAGTGTGAGAATATCAGTGTGAATATATGCGATATGCAGTGTATATGTTTGTGTGTGTGTGTGTGTGTGTAAGGTAAAAATGACTGCAGTGCATTGAACAGTAGGGATAAATCCTGCACTCACAGTAATAAGCCAAAAGGATTCCAACCAGCAGCAGGAGGAGCAGCAGACAGATCACCGCAGCCACAGTGAACTTAACACACCTCTGTTTTACATCTGACAAAAAAACAACACACACTGTGACTGGACACCCATTTACACCCAGCTTACCCACTTATTAAATGTGTCTAATAAATGAACCTTTTCTCGTTTCTTTCTTATATGCAGCTTAATTTCATTTTTAGCAGTATGTAAACATCTGTATTTTTTGTGTCTGTTGTAAAAAGAATCTATGCATGAAACATCTGACTGACAGGAACTACTGTGGTATGAAACTGAGTTACATTAAAACTAGACAGACTCTATACAAGAAATAACATTAGTATTTTATTCATCTATTGGACAATGGCTGTCCTCTGTATGGAAATATAGGTTTGAGTTTACCCCCTTTATTTTCTGATTAATAATTTGTTCGAATTATCTGTTATTTATATCAAAAGGTTCTACACCTTCAAATATTTTGTTATGAGTCTGTACTGACATAGTAAAGTAGTGTTTTTTCTTATGAGAACTATAAACTTTAAAAAATGTAAATCTGGAAAAGCTAAGCATATGTTTATAGCTATATGACTGTGATTAACAAAACCCTTTAATCTTCCTTTGAAGAAAAAATCCTGTTCAAAGCCAGCACTAAGCTCCTGTTTGAACAGTTGTATTAAAACCGCTTCAACACTATTTCTCTACTATAAAGAAAAAAAAAAGGCTGAACTACCTTTATGCTTGGGGACGGAGACGCTGATCTCAGGTGGCGGGTTTGGAGCCAGACGGTGAACATACTGAGGCTTCACATCTGAACGGGTGGGTGGAGGAAGTTTCCAGTCTCCGTCTTCGTGGATGAAACGAGAACCTGAGTCCAGATACTGTCAGTAAAGCATAAATGATGATGAGAGCATAGCTTTCAAAAACTGGCTGCTTGTAATCTCTCTGAATAAAGTCATTTCAAGTTACTCTGGGTAACTTGATACATTAGAAAAATACCTCAACTGTAAATGTACATGTGAGATTGACCAGCATTTCAAATACAAAATCAGCAGCATTTTAATCACTAATATATCTAATATTATTTTCAAAACCAGTATTATCATAGTATGAATAGGAGTTACTCTACATGTATGTTTCTATTTAAAAAATGTTCTTACTTACCGGTTTGGTGGTCATTTTCTGTTTAAGCAACAATACCCTTCATTCACTGATGGATGCAGTGGAAGAATCTTCCTGAAGTCTTCCTCATATAATTCAAACCCCAATTTTGCAAGTAAATGATCTAGTCGGTATCAGTGTCCACTCCAAGAGTAATTGAAACTGTAAGAGAAAAATGTTCACAGCTCTGCTCCCTGGAAAGATACAGTTCAGATCTCTGTCACCTCCTCTCACATTTGCCCTTTTCTGCTCTCTCTTCAGTCTCACACCACTGATCAAATAAAGAGCTCACATGGTCGCCTGAGTGGTCACAGCTCCTCACACCTCCTCATCGGCATCGGTTTGAAGTTTCCCTCCTGAGCACACAACAAGCACAATAAGGACAGTTACTTAGTCTAAACATCCCACAGGTGTTATCTGCTGAACTGTCAGCGCGGTGACTGAGCACCTTTATACTGAGTGTGCAACGGAAAGGTACGACACAACACGATGTATAAACAGGCAAACGCGTTAAGCATCAATACTTTAGTTAATGAGTGACAGAATGCAGCGGCTAAAGTTATATCTGTGAATAAATTTGTGATGAATTACTGATCAGGCAAAGTACAACTCTGATATAAACCAAGACACAAATTTAAAAAAAAAAAACGAGAATAGTAAAACAAAGTAGAATATCTGAAAGCTGTACACACATCGTACATTTCTAAATAGACATTGTCTACAAGCCTTACAGACTAACATAATATTGATTAATCTCATGCCAAAAGAACTGAACTCTAAGTGCTAACAAACAGCTGAACCCAGACTAAACCCTGCCTGATAAAGGAATTCAATGGTATGCCAAGTGCAATTTATTCAAAAGGTGTCTCATACATTTATAAGGCATGTATTCATGTTAAAGAATATGACAATAATGAGTGATTTCATACATCAATCAACAACACGAAAAACAATCACAGCCAACTGGGCAAAAAAAACAAAAAAAGTTTGACCTTTACAATGAAAAAATCAGGACTCCAAAGCTCATTGGTCTTCTTAAATTGCTCAAGGAATTTTCAGTTCACAGATGATTCAGGAAAAAAAGGACAATCTTCTCTGTTTTCTGTTAAAGTGCAAAGGTTTGCAGAAAACGAGGATTCAAAAGGTATAAGCAATAAAATACAGTTGATTGATTGGTTTCTGCTTCTCTGGAACTTTGAAAAAGAAGCTGTTTATATTCTAAAGGTCACTTGAGTAGTGTCTGTCCACCTTTTTTCTCCATGTGTGTCACCACAAATATGCCTTCAACAGTTGAGAGGAGCAGCATTATTTTCTGGGGTTGGGGGGGGGGGGGCATACAGGATCATACAGGAGTTTCAATCAAGCAACTGGCTCTCCTTATCGTACAGAGGAGAGGCTACACCCAGGCCTGCCAGCCTGGAAAGAGTCTGCTGAGGTTTTCGGGGTCCATGGCTTGTTGGATGAGCAGGTTGACCTGCCCCCCCACGCTGAGCACCGTGCCCTCCTCCACCCCCTTCAGTTTCTCCTGCAGCCGCAGCAGCACCCGCTCTGCCACCTTGTTGAAACTTTGACTGTCACTGCAACAGAAAGAGCATGAGGCGATGAGACAGAGCTTTAGGGCAGATTGAAACAGTGCAACAAACACATCTGAAATAGTTCTTACTTTACAATTAAAGAATTAGAAACCCAATTAAAAGCTTAATTTTTCCGACAAAGAAGCCAGTTCACTTGATTTTCCATATTTCCAGTCCTGCAGAGGAACAAAAACACACACCCACACACACCCACACACACAAGATCACCTGGATTTACGGTGGTTGACTAGGTCGTCTCCTCCCATGGTGGAGCTCAGTGTTGCATTGAGTTCCTGCTGCTCATCGTGCTGCAGGTAGAAGGCCTTCAGAGGGTTCATGGTCCAGTCAAACAGAGGGTCGTACAGCAGCACCTGTTTCACACGTGAACCAGCACACAAGCATATATCAGCATGCAAAGGCAATGCTTAATGTGGGGTTAAAGAAAAAAAACAAAAAAACATGATACATAAGAAAGTGTTTGTGTCTGCATGTTTGTGTGTGCGTGTGTGTTTGTCCCATGTTGGCACCTCTACAATGGTCAGCAGAGCTTCTTGAGAGCTCCTCATCACCTCAATGGTCTTCTCACAACATCTGATCAGAGGAAACAGGTGAAAAAAAGGAAAAGACATTTTACAATTTACATAGCTTTGTTTGGTTAGATTTAGAGTGTCCCTGGAGCAACCACGAACCAAAACGCTTTAAAAACTTGTATAATAATCTTAATATGCAAGCTACATTTTGGAAAATAGTCATAAGTCATGTAAAGTATGTACTACCGCAGAAAAAGATCTGGAAAAATGACAACTATGATAGAGAGAAACATTCTCAGGCTTGATTTTCCCCATTAATCTTGGTTCATGAATTTTTAATGAAACATTTTCCGTCAGACTTCCCACCTCCTGAAAACTCCCTCCACTCCAGTGATGCCCATTCCATCCACGATGTCTCTGGAGAGCCTGAAGGGCACAGTCTCTGGTGTGGGGAGGATCTTCCCCTGCTCAAAGGCCACACCTGAGGGTTAGAAGCATGAGAAGGAAACAGAAGCAAGGATGTGTTAGGATACATGTTATATCATGTTACGTCATGTATTCGCTAAATTTTAAAGAGTCGATGATATGATTTATATGATCATCAACAGTTGAATCAAAATATGCAGTTTAAATACATTTCTCCTAAAAAGTTATACAAGCCTGTATTCATGTTTCTTGTTAACAGATATAGACACTCAGTCACTGTTTACACAGCCTCAACTTTCTCAAACTGAAGAGAGAATTTCCCTGTGTTAATATAAATTAAACTAAGGAGAATAAAATATACCTAAATCGATGTGGACCAGCTCAGCAGTCTGCTCATCAATCAGGATGTTCTGGATGTGTCTGTCGCCGAGACCTACGATGTAACCAACTGTCGGCACAAAAGAGAAAAGTTGGTGAATATTTCAGCATTTGCAACAAGACTGGAGTTTCTACAGAGAAAGTCAGAACTCAGTACAGCCATGATTTCAAGCCACTGATAAAAAAATACTAATTTGCCGATTCTCCATGTTCAAATTTCCTACTGGCCTGAAGTTTGTATAAATGTCCTGAGAGGCAGCCTGGTACAAAGTTAACTTTTTTTTTTTTTTACTTTTTAATTTCTAACTCAAACTAAGACAAATGTTTTATTTCTTTTGAGGAGTCAGGTAGTCTGCAGGAAGGCCTCACTGCTGGTGCCAGCTCAACAGCCAACCTCCCTGATCTCATTTCAAACCAAACCAAGACGACTTTGAGACACAATGATGTGCATTTGCGTGTAACATATTTATAGTGCACGACCACGAGTGAGCACAGTCTACCAATAGAGGAGGTGGCCACGCTGCGGGTGTAAGCCAGCCGTTTCTCCATCCACACCGCTGGATCCAGGAATCGTTCCATGCAGAAATACCTGAAGACCGGCCTGAAGTTCTTGCACACCTCAGAGTAAGCCTGGAGCTTCTCGTCAAATGCAAGCCTCTGAGCCTCCTACAATGGCATGACATAAGATTAAAACTTTTTAGTTTTCTTGTCAGTCATGAAAAGTGCAATTTTAACTTCACAAGCAGTACCATCATCTTCTTGCGGCAGGATAAGTTGGTCCAGTCCTGGGGTCGGAAGCGTTTGTGGGCTCCTTTATTGGGATCCACCAGAAATTCCCCAATGGGAACAGTGCCTGAGCACCACTCTAACACGCCGCTACGCTGCGAGAACGGCACCACCTGAGAATGAAGTGCGAGTGCAATTTAATATTAACTTTGTAATTTTAATATGCGTTAGAGCAACACAGTTCTGATTTATGGTTTTGAGCAGAAAATAAAGGTTTAAAGTCGAGTGAATAGTGTGCGTGACCTTGTATCGTCTGATGTTGAGCTTCCTCTTGCGCGTGTCTGTGTTGCGCTGCAGCAGCATGGAGCACATGCTGAAGACCTGCTGCATCACCGCATCCTGCCGCAGGTCATCCTGACCCTGTTCACACCGAGAGGGCGAAGGTCACAGGAGAATATAAAGTATAGTATGCTATAGCTCTCAGGAACATTGAGAGGCTGATTTTGACCCTCGACTGAACTCTCTAGTTTACAAATGGAACAAGAGAATTAGAATTGTTTTTTCTAAACTAAAATGGGTAAATACAAGAAAATCTTAAAATTTTAATACACAGCATTTTCATAAATATTATAATATAGCCCTGTAAAATATCAGACATATTTTCATAA